GAATATTTAATTTCTCCTGAAATAATGAACAAACAGTTCTATGAACAATGTTTTCTTTGCAAGTAAACAGATCCATTTTTCAGCCCTGTAATCAGAATACATCTATTTAGCTACTTAACTGCAATGTGCTCCAGTTCATTAGGTGGCTACTGTTGTGTCTAAGCCTAGTTAAAATTTCACAGCAAGTTAATCTGTTTTGTTACAAATGAGAACACAAGTGATAATGTCCTCATCATTTGCCAAATACAGGGTTAAAAGTATTTGCAACAAAACAATAACGACATTAAAAAGGAGAATTTCAAATCTAAAACCCCAATTATATTCACTCACTGATGACTTCATTTTATTTGGCATTTATGACTTTTACAGCCCTGTTACTCAACATGCATTTCACTTGTGCCCTATGGAAAAGAAACACTGAAATACTGCAGAAGTCTTTTCCAGTTCATTTAAAGTAACAAAAGATTGCCAAAAGTGATACATACTTATATAATTGATGCCTCTTTCACCCGCAAATTAGTAAAATTATCTGCAATAATTACTCACATTCTATCATAGATGTTTATATTTCAAGATTTAAGCTTAAAAGAGATGCTATGGAAAATAGTAATTAATACATACTATCTCCTCTTCCATCATACTATATCCCTTTGTGGAATGAGGATATATCACAAATAGTCAAAGAAATCTATATTATTGAATCATTTGAAAGCACAATTGAATCTTAATAAGTAGCATGTAAATATTTAGAAGATTCAATTTTACACAATGTTTAACACAATCTATTAGATTTAGGATTTACTTTATTAGTGCTGAAGTATTAGCTCCACCCATTTTTATGGTGATCCTTTATTTTATCACAATATATTCCATTATGTCCCAGGAAATATGATAGTGTGCACAGAACTTATGAAATACTAGCATATGCATACCAAACATGTGTTTCTACCTATGCGTACATATGTGTAGCTGTCTTTTAATAACAGCCATTCAAGTGTTAAATTGTTATCTCTGGTATTTTATTATATTGATTCTTATCAAGCGTACAGTGGGATTATATAATTTGTCTTTTTATTTTTATTTAATTGGAATTCAACTCTCACTATAATTACTCTTCCAAATGTTAATCTATTAATGAGCTCCTAAAGGATTTAATGGCATTTCACTGCTGAGAAGTGGCTTTTGGAAGTTTATCTGAATGCTAGATATTTTATTCATGCATTTGTCATATTAATATTAAATTTCATATTAAATTGATGTGCTCCTTCTGTACTGTCACCAGAGGTCTGCAGAAACAGAACAGACTGTAAGTTGACAGAGTTTTAATAATAAAATCAGGGGCAGGAAAATAAAGCTTGTTCTTTGTTGCTGCTCACTTGGTTTACCACTTATCCTGAGGAAGAATTTGATGCCCAAATTTGGTGTCTCTAAATACTATTAGCAGCATTGCACTTTATAGATCCTTAAAATAATAAATTCTTAAAAAAATAATTTAAGAATTAGACTGTTTCACAATCATCAATTTACAATTGTATTTACATGAACATAAATAAGCATAGCTGGGTTTTCTTGAATTCAGATAAATCAGGCAAGGAAGTGCATGTGGTTAAAGAGGAAATAAAGCAATTTAGTAATTGTTAAGGTCTCTATTACAGGCTTGGAGTTTTCATCACATATGTAGTTCATTAGTGTATGAAACAGTGATTCCACAATTGTCTTTCATCTCTGAGAGGGTAACTTACCTTAGGGGGAAAAAAGATTCCAAATACTGGGAGTTTTCACTATGCAGTGGTTTTGAAGGCATAATATAAGTTTTGAATTAGAAGAGGTAATATAATATCATATATAAGAAATGATGCCAGATTAGGGTAGCTACAACATACAATGATGAAAGAGTCCAAAATCATAAACCTACCCTATTTGTGACCTATGTGATATTTGGACAGAGGGACTTCTCACCTCTTCAATGTGATCACCTGGTTCTGGAAGAGGCTGATGGCTTAAAGGAATCAGCCTTAATATCTGTTCATAGCATATAAATATCCCGGAGTGAGAGAATGGATAGTTCAGTAGGGAAATGCTTGGCTTCCAAACTATGTTGTGGCCTTGGACTGCTGCCACTCACCCAGATACACATACACATAAACAAGCAAACACACACAGATTACTCTAAATTCCCACTCAATGCATCTTCATTGCATGTCCTAAAAGATAGTGATAGCTTTGCCTTTACACAGAGTACTTAGAAAAAGTACTAGTGCTTAGAAAAATCAGCTAGTGATTTTTCAGTGAATTTGATTTTTTTTTTACAAACAACCCTCTCTGTGTTCACTAATTTTAATACCAGATGTTCATATGCTATTATCATTGTCTTGTGACCATTTGCTATCAATTCATTAATTGCCAGCTGCTCAGGCAAACAAAAAAACCTCACAACTAATCACATGGTATTGGTAAACAACAAAATATCAGCTTTCTACTAATTTTCTTAGATTTGCTATGAGAGAAAACTATGTCACATTAATATTATGAAGTTTCCCACAAATGCAAAAATATATTACACATAAATGTCAAAAAGATAATAGATTTTCATACCAGTCATTTATTTTACCTATTTTGCTCTGAGGATTTTGCTACATTCAATGATTTAACTGGAAGATGAATAGCTTTGCAAGCCTAATGATCATAATGCAATGTCCAGATCATATTATGGCTATATTATTTATCAGCTACAAATGTTAGCAGCTGAGCCAGAACTAGACTGTAACTGAGGGATCTGAGCCAGAACTAGACTATACCTGACATAAAGATATCTATCTCCAAACTAGTTTCTGGTAAAACAACAGCAACATCAACAATAACAATATTATTTATTTACTACTTTTAATAGATTTTCCAGTTTGGTGTTAAAGTTTCTATATCAGTATTGATCATTTCTATTGAAACACTTCCCAAAGTTTAGCAACCAGTAAATAATTAGTTTTCATTCATTGACGCAACAACCTTTTATTGAATGTATAACATAACAATTGGGGATGGAAAGAAGGTGTATGGGTATTTTCATATTGTGTGTAGATGCACAGAGTTCAAACTAAAGACTACATCATTTATATGTAAATATTCAAGGATACTTTAAAATAAAAATCAGAACAATTTTCACATTAGAATAACTACCCCTCTCAGCCACTACCAGATCCTTAACCACTCTTGTGGTATCAAGATCAAAATAGGCATTACAGGTGAATGAAAGTTCTCTTTCGAGAGGGTTCAATAACTGTATTTACATTCAATTGTAGGGGAACTATTATTTCTGGTACTGATAAGAGGTTATGCCTAAGAATGTAAGAGAAGTGACTTCATTCACAGCCCAGTTCTCAATCATGATATTGGTTCCTACACACTACTATTCTATATGGATTCTTGACTAGAAGGATAGATATAATACATTACTACACACTGATTATTTTCTAGGAGCCAAATAACGCTCTAAGTGTTTTAACAAACTTTATCTCATTTAGTCTCATGTTAACACTATGAGATAGGTACAACTATTATTCCCACTTCATTGGGAGATGAGACAAATGAGACAAAGGTAGATTAACTAATTTGCCTAAAGTTACATAACTAGAAATGGTGAAACAGAATTTATATACGAGTGGCTGATAAACAGAATACAGGTGGACGATCTGACTTCAGAGTCCATGCCCTCACTCATTATGCCACACTACTTCCAATGAAATCTGTTCTTGAAAGGAGGAAGTCATCAACATATGAACACCCAATTGTCAATTAATTTGAAGATTTTTATTATATTTCCTATAAAGTATTATCTTAAATCTAATAATATTAATACTAGACAACAATGCTTTTGCAAAAATAAAAAAAGGGACAACTACGTTAAAAGTATTTCCTATAAATCTAAACATTTTCCTTATCTGATGGAAAACTTCTATAGATATGCAGATAAATTTTATCAAAGGTCATTCAAAATAAATACATTGTTTTCAACTGACTTTAATTACTCAAGATGATTGCAATGAAAGCAGATCCAATTCTCTTCAGCATAATATGATTCCTATGTATTTGGCAAAACTTAAATAAGTAAGGGACCTAATGTCAACTTTTAAAAAGCACCACACCATTTCATGTTGGTGAAGGCTCTGATTTTATTTTTTAAAAAGTTTATATGTGAATTAGACAAATCATCAATAAACAAAAATACCCTCATATAATCTCACCAAAAGAAAATAAAGCCTAGTTCACATGGTGCTTGGAAAGAAGCCAAAAAGATCATGTCACTATTAGGAAATATAAGGAGATATAAAATATTATTTGTGTTTCATTACTCAAATGATAACGGAATTTTGAAAAATAGTATTTTAATGACGATAATGCTTTGAATTATCATAAATATTTATTTAATATTTCAGCTTTCGATGTGTATTTTACTCACATTGTCTCCAGATAACAAATTAAATAAGGGGGATATAGTATTACTATGATCTTTATTTTACAGTTCAGGAAATACGTTCAGATGAGACAACTGTCATATCCAAGGTCATTAGCTACTTAGTGGCAGAATCAGAACTGGAACTCATGTCTTTCTGACTAAAGTCTTTTGTGTTATTTTCTATCCCACAACTACCTCTCAAATATCAAAGGGATGTAGTGTTTATTTTGTTTCATCCCAGCAATGGGAATGTTTATTTCACACTCTTCTATTCTGTCATTAGTCCGGTCATGCCTCCCACATAATGTGCTGGTGAATGCAAGATATGAAACTAGTTAAAGGTGAGATCTATGTTCATGGAATGAAAAAAACAACAAAGGCAAATAAAAAAGAAACCTTAGGAGGCCCAGTTAGAAATCGAACTCATCAGTACTTTATACTAACCAACTGAGTCAATGAACTGTGTGTATATACTGAAGAAGCAACGGAATATTTTATCAGATTTACATGTAATTAGCACCTTTGTCCTCTTCTAAATCATGATCCTTACCTTTATAACAGAGGCCCCAGCTCTGGAGAGTGGACTGTGAATCTGGGCTGCAGCAGCCATGTTGGCAATAGTATTGAGATGGTTCATCTGATTCATTGCCATGGCAACTGATGCAGGAGGTAAGCTGACTGGAAGTAGGGGATGAGGCATCATCATAAATGGCAGATCCAGTCCTAAAAGAGACAGTGTATGTTAAATTTATTATATTTGTTGCATTATTTAGACAAATGGAAATCACATTAAAATTGAGGCTATAAAAAGGGAAAAAATTATTTAATTTGTTCTTGTTGGCTTTTTTTAAAAAAATCATAGGTTATATCCCAGTATCTCTTTAAGCAAATAATAGTACCTATGGGATTTCATATTGCTTTATAATTTAAAAATATTATTATACCATACACCTCTAAGTCATATAAAGTGTTGTAAACTAATGTTGACTCAATAAAATAAATAAAAACTGATAAAAATGTTCTTCTATCCACAAACATTATTGATATCCCTTTTGTGCTCACTCCCAAAATATTTATAATATGCAATCATTTTTACTCATAAAAACAAGCAGAAATCTTTAAGTCAAACATCATTTTGTTTAAGTAAATACTAAGCTTAATTTTAATCATTATAATATATTGATGTGTTGATACTTTCCAACTTAATGCTTTCTTTAGGAGACAACAGTGATGCTGGCAAGATAGGATGCAAATTCTCTAGCTTTGGAATTATTGAAGAAAATAAGACAGAATATATTTACCCCTCAAATTGTATATCTCTAAGTTGAAGTCTTTGTTAATAAGGAATAACTCCCATATCAAAGTATTAACTGGTTTCCAGTTTAGTAACAAACACCAATATATTGTTCAGTAGTGTCTGGAATTGTTTTCTAATGCAGGGTGAAATAATTTTCACACATTTTTAGTCTCTTAAAGAATCTCTCAAGTATTCTCCACTTTACACCGGTGGTAGCCACAGATATATCATCATGACAAAGGTAATAAAATTGTCACTTTACCCCTTATAAGGTTAAGATTTGTAAGAAAATACATTGGAGCAGAGATTAGTAAGGGTTAACCTGATAGTGCATGACTGTCATAAGTACATCATAACATTTGAAAATGGGCCTCCCCGGTGGCGCAGCGGTTGAGCGCTGGGTTGTGAAGCTTCCCGCAGCCTCTGCAGCGCCGGTTCGATCCCCGGCTGCTCCCCGGCCAACGGAGGAGGGTCCCACATGGCGCGCAGACCTCTCCTGCTGCCCGCTGCTGCCCTCAGCAGTGTACTTCGCTCCTTCTGCCTGCTCTGGTCTGCGCTCTGGCTCTGGTGAATTATCTCACCCTCCCGCGCTTCTGACTGTACCCAGTGCTTGTATAAATAAATAAATCTTTAAAAAAAATGTATTTTAAATTATTATTTCACAGTACTCTGGCTTTAATTTGAAGAGAAATACAGAAACCAGTAATCTTTAATAGATTCTCTGAAACATTCTTGCTTATAATTTTCCTAAATTATGTCAGATCATAGAAGTTCTACAATTGGTAATGTTTATGTTGGTTCTACAAAAAATTGTCATCTATTACTAATATGATATCTTCTACTTTGCCATTCCCTAATTTTTCTTGTTTCTTGTACCACAACAGTAAGTGAAATACAATGAATCTATAGGAAATACATACAGAGGCCCCTGAAATTTCATTCTTCAAAGTACCAGTAACAGTAAGACAAATAATGACTCAAAACACATATTTCCAGGACAAGAAAGAGGGTAGAAGAAAGAAATGCATTGATTTATGTGAGGTCCATCTCCTGAATTCAATAATAATGTTTGAAAGCTGTTAACATAGGGGTGTAAGTATTTGTATTTTGGGAGTAGATAACTAGGAGTGGAATTTCTGGATCATATAGAAGATCCAATTTTAGTCATTTGAGAAACCTCCACACTGCTCTCATACGTTCATAGTGGCGTATTTACAATTGCCAAGCTATGGAAACAACTTAAGTGCCCCCAAACATATGAGTGGATCAGAAGACATATATATATATATATATATACACACACACACACACATACAGAGTGAAATATTACTCAGCAATCAAAAAAAAATAAACTGTCATTTGCAGCAACATGGATGGAGTGTAAGGGATAATGCTAATTTAAATAAAAACACTGGATTATGTCACTAATATGTGGATTGTAGAGAAATCAACTATGAATCAGAGAGAGACAAACTTAAAAGCTAACCCTTGAGAGGTGACTATAAAACTGAAGCATCTAGAGTGGGGAAGGATGGAAGAAGAGAAAGAACAAAGAGGGAAGGAAGCACAAAGGACTATAGTGACGAACTATGGGTGATTTGTGGTGGGTACCCTATAGTGGTGATACCTAATGGGGAGGATCCTAATGTTACCACAATTAGAAGAAAAACTAATTAAAGATAAGAACACAAAGAAAGTTATTAACGAATACATTCAAATACAATGCAAATACAAAAAAAAGCACACCTCCAGATATACAGGTCTCATACAAAACCATAGTGTTCATTTCAATTAATAAAGAACTCAATGGTCAGCAATATTCTGGTAAAGACAGCCACAAAATGTGCTATTATTTAATTATTTATTTCAAATATTTATTTATTTATTTGTTATTTCTTTATTTATACAAGCACTGGGTACAGTCAGAAGTGCAGGATGGTGAGAGAATTCACCAGCGCCAGAGCGGGGAGCAGAACAGGCAAACTCCCAAAGTACACTCCTGAGGGGAGCAGCAGGCGGCAGGAGAGGTCTGCGCACCATGTGGGACCCTCGCCTGAAGGCCAGGGATTGAACCGGCACTGCAGAGGCTGCAGGCAGCTTCGCAACCCAACACTCAACCGCTGTGCCACCAGGGAGGCCCCAAAATGCGCTATTATCAGAATTCAAGAATTCAGAATAATATATATACTGCTTGGAACCCAAGAAAGGGAGCATATTCTGCACCATTTATGACTCCAAATCTCCAGAGAATGTTAATAGAGTATTTAAACTAGTTTCCCTATCACTACACTTATGACTCACTATCTCTAAATTCTTTTAGGGACAATATACCAAATCAAACTTTTCAATTATGAAACGTTTTTCCTTTGATTATTAATTTATTAAAGAAGCCTCATTACAGTGTAAACACTGAATTCAAAATGGTCATCTGTGCCCCCCTTTAAACTAGAAGATTATTTTCTGTCAGCCTTCTAAAATTACTTAGATGCATATGCATTTTTCCTCTACTCATCGCACAGCTTTGCTGTGATTGGATATTCCATTACATATATTAATCACTGTCATCTTTCCCTTAAAACATACACTTTATGCTCAATATAATAGCAAATATCAATGACCTAAATAAGGCTTTCATTAACCACAAAACCAAGATAATTACAGACTTCAATTCATCTGTGTGTATTCAGTGTTTTAGTAGCAAATCAATCAAATTATAGATGAATAGTATCTCTCTTGACCACTCAAATGATTAAATAAGCTTTTGTTCAATTTACAGCTCCCTTAACACTCTAATGATCTTCCCTCATTTCTCCAAAGATTTTCAGCATATTCAGACACCACCTGGTTATATCAAGTCATATGCCTACTTAGAGTCCAATTGACATGCAAACTAAATGCAACATGCAAGCAGAAATTTAATAGCTCACTAATAGTTCAAAGGTAAAACTCATCAAACATTTCAAATGACCATGAAGGACTTAAAAGCTACACTTCTAGATCATGACTTGCAATAACTAACCATCTACTGACAATAATACCCTAGACTCTAAACTATTATTTACATTACAAGCCATTTTAATGTTGATCCAACAAGAGTTGCATATGTAAAGCATATACAAATACCGAATTACGTAAGTCAAACATTTCTCTAAGCAGAAAAAAATTAAATTAAGAGACATCAATGTATATAGCATTCCCAGAATCTGGCTCATTCAGTTGCATGCCAGAAAGGTAGGACTTTAATAGTATACTACTGAAGAAAAATTGTTTTTAAAAATCAAGATGGGTAAAATGTTCAACATCACTTGCAATGAGGGAAATGCAAATCAAAACCAGAATGAGATACCATCTTACACCAGTGGGAATGGCACATATTAAAAAACTAGCAACAACAAATGCTGGCGAGGATGTGGAGAAAAAGGAACTCTCCTGCACTGCTGGTGGGAGTGCAAACTGGTGGAACCACTATGGAAAGTTGTGTGGAGTTTCCTCAATCTGCTAAAAATGGAGCTTCCATATGATTCAGCAATTCCACTCCTAGGTTATCTACCCAAAGGACACAAAAACATTAATTCAAAAGGACACCTGCACCCCAATATTTTCTGCAGGTATTTACAATAGGTAAGCTGTGGAAACAACCCAAATGCCCAAAAATAGATGACTGGATCAAGATGCTGTACATATACACAATGGAATATTACCTAGCAATCAAAAAAGATAAACACATGCCGTTTGCAGCAACATGGATGGAGCTGGAAGGGATCATGCTCAGTAAAATAAGTCAGAAGGAAAAAGAAAAATACTGGATGGTCTCACTTACAGCAGGAATGTAGAAGATCCAAATAAGGGATCAGGAAAAAAATATAATTATAATAAAGCAAAAAATCAAAATCAGCAGGCAACTATAAATCAGAGACACATTACAGGGGTGGAGAAGGGAGTAGGATCAAAACAATGGTGTGAAGAGCACAAGGGACCATGGTGATAGTTCACAGATGAATGGGTGGTGGGAATTTTACAGGGACTATAACCAAGATGAAAATGCATACATTACACAAAAATGAAAAATGATGTAAAATATATAATTAATTAAAAATAAAAAAAATAAAATTACTACAAAGCTACCGTAAAAAAAATCAAGATGGGTCATCTCTTCCCTATCAATCTCAAGGACATCACAATTACCATAAACATCTTTATTATGCAATTTGATGATAACTCCTGTAACTCTTATGTAAGTGCATGGTATCACCTCTTAGACATTAAAGCTGTAAACTTGAGGAATATTCTAATCCTCCCTCTAAAGTTCCACATTCATTCAATTTCTAAGACATGCTGACCTCTATAATACCTTGATATATATACATTCATAATCAGACAAAAATCCCATCACAACAACACTCTGTGTTGGTAGGAACAAACACATTATGATATGTTAACATTTTCTTGAACAATTTACTTTGCCATTTTGTAGTGTCCCTCTTACTCCTGTAATGCACAATAAACATTTATAACTTCTCTAGTCTACTTTCTTTTTTAATATTTTATTTTATATAATTCTTACATCATTTTTCATTTTTGCACAATGTATGCATTTTCATTTTGGTTATATTCCCCAGACAATTGCACCCCCCCTTATTTTGACCCTAATCCTTCCTCTCCCAGCCCCAACCCCCTGTAGTGTGTCTCTGGTTGATTTTGATTTTTAGTTGCTTGTTGATTTTGATTTTTACTTTGTATTAATCAGTCTTTTTCCTGGTCCCTTATTTAGGTTTTCTAAATTCCCGCTATGAGTGAGACCATCCGGTATTTTTCTTTTTCTTTCTGACTTATTTCGTTGAGCATGGTCCCTTCTAGCTCCACCCATGTTGCTGCAAACTGCATGTGTTTATCTTTTTTGATCGCTGAATAATATTCCATTGTGCATATGTACCACATCTGCTTTGTCCAGTCATCTATTTTGGGACATTTGGGTTGTTTCCATAGCTTGGCTAGTGTAAATAGTGCTGCTATAAACATAGGGGTGCAGGTGCCCTTGGAATTAATATTTCTGTGTCATTTGGGTAAATACCTAAGAGTGGAATTGCTGGATCATATGGAAGCTCTGTTTAGTAGGTCAAGAAATCTCCACACAGCTCTCCATAGTGGTTGGACCAGTTTGCACTCCCACCAACAGTGCAGAAGAGTTCCTTTTTCTCCACACCCTCGCCAACATTTGCTGTTGCTAGTTTTTTTAATATGTGCCATTCTCACTGGTGTAAGATGGCATCTCATGGTAGTTTTGATTTGCATTTCCCTGATTACAAGTGATGTTGAACATTTTTTCATATGCCTGTTGGCCATTTGCATTTCCTCTTCAGAGAAGTTTCTTTTTAGCTCTTCTGCCCATTTTTGACTGGATTATTTTCTTTGTTGTTGTTGAGTCTCATCAGCTCTTTGCAGATTTTTGTGATCAGTCCTTTATCATTAGTGTTGGGTGCAAAAATTTCCTCCCAGTCAGTGGGGTTTCTCTTGTTTTTGGTATGTCTCTTTTGCTGTGCAGAAGCTCTTTAATTTGATGTAGTCCCAGCTGTTTATCTTTGCCTTCACTATCAAAATATTTCCAATAGTTCCTGTTCCTTATAACTTTGCTATCATTTATTTATATAACTTATCCATAAGGCATAATCATGCGCTATATTGTAATTTGGAAAAATATTAGACTAGTAATATATATATACACAAAAATACACACATATTATATATATATATATATATATATATATAGTACAACCTTAATATAATCCCCTAACACTCTTCCTTTCTTTAAACAGATCCCAGTTTCTGACCTACGCCATTTTCTTTCTCTCTGAATACTTTATTTTGATGTTTCTTACATGGAAGAAATGCTGTATGGTAATAAATTCCTTCAATTTTTATTTGTCCAAGAAATTCTATTTCTTTTTTATCTTATAAAGGGAATTTCACTGAATACAAAATTCTATGATATTTTTTTCCTTTTCCAATGCTTACATATTTCATAACCACTCTATTCTTGCTTGCCTAATTTCTGAAGATAAGTTCAATGTATTTATCTTTCTTCCTGTATAGGTAATGAGGGTTCTCCCCTTTCTCTTTCAAGATTTTCTTTGTTTCTTTTTATTTTCCAGTTTGAATATACTATGCATAGGAGGAATAGGTAGTATTCGCTAAAAGCTCCTGGATTTGTGGTTTGGTGTCATTACTTTGGACAACTTTCAGTCATTGCCACTTCACATACTTCTCTGTTCCTTTCCTTAATTTTTGTTTTTTGGTATCTGCACTAAATGTATACTACACTGTTATAATTGTTATACAGTTCGTAGACATCATGTTTTATTCTTAATTATTTTCTTACCTTGTTTTTCAGTTCGAGAGGTTTCTATTGACTTATCTTCAAGTATACTAATTCCTTTCTTGACCTTCTTCAGTCTACTGATGAAACCATCAAGGGCATAGTTCACTGTGTTGCTGTGTTTTTGATTCTCAGCATTAACTCTTTCTTAGAGCTTCCATCTTACTGCTTAAATCTCCCTTGTATTCTTTCATATTTTCCATTCTTTTAGTATATTAATCATAGTTGCTTTAAATTCCAGTCTAAAATATCTGCTCTAATTCTGGTTCTGATACACGCTTTATCTTTTCAGAGAGTTCTTGCCTTTGCCATGCCTTATGCCTTTTTGTGTAAAGC